CTCCAAGTAGATGTGGAAAGCCCCGCTCCTTTTGTGCGCCTCAGCTGCAGCCCGATTTTGCCGTCAGAATGCTCAGGACAAGCACATAACCCAAAGGGTCCAACTATCATTATAGCATATACTTATAGGGTATTTTCCGGGTCTAAGTAATTATATACCATAATGATACCCGGACCCGCCGGGATAACCGTGGACAAAATCCGTCTTAAGAACACCAGTGATGAACACCACTCCAAGGGATCAGGAATTGAACTTCCAGAAAGAATGCACCAAAGGCGCAAAAGCAAACCGAACGAACACGCGGAAGCGAAACTCCGGAAATTACTGCGCGCACAAACGACTCTCAAAACCCTTTTTGCAGCAGGCCTCGTTGTCCAAACCCTAAACTCTAAACCCTAGGACTCCCGGACTCCAGTGCAGAGCACCTTCATCACGTTTTATCCCGGCGCGCCGCATTGACCAGTCTCGTTTTCCGATTGCCACGACATAGCCCTCATGGCAACCATGCGTCGTTGTCGAACAATTTTGGATGCTTCCCTTGCTCGAACTTGGAGGCGGCTTCAACACAAAGTGTTCAAGTACTCCGGTTTTCGGGATGAGTATAATATAGTATAGTCCGACGGCTGTATCCGGACAGATGTCGGCACAAGTTGCACAGGCTGATCGACCAGGAAAGTTTCACAATATATGGTAGTTACCTCAAACATACAGATACTGAGGCTATAGCACTAATACCAAAATATTACGTTCACTAATACTTACAACAATAAGCTGGTGAGTCTTCGCAGCACCATCACCCGGGTGAAGGCGCTAATCGAAGCTTCTGAAAAAGCCTACCTACATCATCAAGCCGAGGTGGGAATTAGCGCAGCAAGCGACCAGAGGCAGTTTCGAGCAGAACCATCATCGGAGAGCCGTGGCATGCAGACTGCAATGATGCGTGGGTTGCATCAAAAGGCAGCTGCTTTGTCCATTGCAGTCGGGCTAATCCAGGTGCGAGCTACGTCTTCACTTGCAGCCGACAGCTCCTCACAAGCCGAACTTCCGGTTCTTGCAGGAAGCCAAAGTTCCTCAAGCTAGTACTGCAGTCGACGGAGAACTCCTGGTGAAACATAAAGGTAATAACACGCTTGAAATAACATGACGTAACCTGATCGAGTACAACATAACATACTAAATATATAATAGCATGTGTATACATATGTATATATGTTTTATTTGGTTATATCTGTTGATATTGTATATGCACATAAAACATGTGTGTAGGTACATGCATACAATATACAGGCACATCATATACATATATATATATATATATATATATATATATATGTGTGTGTGTGTGTGTCAGTGTGTGTAATATATATATATATATATGCAAATATGGCATGACGATACCGATCTGAAGGCTGTGGAGATTCTCCTCAGGCCGTGCCGGGCTTCTGAAAGAACCCAGTGGCATAAACCTTGGGGAATCAGAACCAAGTTGCACTACGGCCGAGCACCAGAACTTCAGGGCGTTCTGTGAAGACAGTTAGTACTTCGTCTACTCAGGTACATGCAGTCTAGGGATTCTGTGTCTCGGATCCTGGGACGTCTAGAAGCCTCCGAGGCCTCAGATCAAGCAACACGAAGCACCTCGAAGCTGAAGAAGCCGTGTGCGTCAACATTGCACGGCTCTGGACAAGTGAAGCTGCAGAAAATCCGCGAAATCAAGATGCCCAACCTGAATTTGAGGACGTTCTCCATCAACCCTGGAATCTTCGTCGAAGCCTGCAGCCATGCGGTGGGTCCCGCAAGAGGGCACGCCTATTTTGGCACTCGTGACAGGAACATGCCTAGAGAAGTGGTGTGCCATGATGTGCCTGTGGCATGCCGCAGTCTGGTTTCGGCTCAGCTTTTCTGGCATCGCATGCTGATGTCTGCTGGGCTGCTGGCTTATATGCCGCCTGCAGACTCCTGAAGTGCAAAATTGCGGCTTCGTTACTGGCTATTGTACGTGGCGGATCGCAGCTGAAGAGATATACAGCTTGTAGACACCTATTTGGATGATTACCCTCAAAGTCAATCTAACTCTGCAAGGTCGAGAGCTGAATCGTAGAGTATGGTCACTGGAGGTAAGACGACTGCTGCGATGACTGTCTTACTAGCCTGTACAGTCGCTGCCACACGCCCGGATTCATAGAACTCAGAAGGACTCTTCGATCCACGTCGAGGGAATTCACCAGCCTTTACCTTTGCCACCGTTTCCGCCCCAGGCGTCTCCACCGCTGCCACCCCAATCACCTCCTCCTCCTCCGCCTTTACCCCAACCACCGCCCCAACCGCCGCCACCCCAACCTCCCCAGCCTCCACCGCCCATCATCATCGACATCATGTTCCACATGCCATCCATGCCCTTCTTGCCCTTGCCACCTCCCTTCCTCTGCTCCCGAGGTGTTGCAAAGACCACAGTGACCTGGTTCATGAGCCCTTGTGGGACATTGCCGTTGACATTCTCCACAATCCACTTTGCATCATCCACGGTGTTCATGATCACGAAAGCCGCTGCTGCATCCTTGCCCGGCTTCACTGGGAGCACTGTGCATTCCTTCACGGTTCCGTACTGGCTGAAGGTCTGCTTCACGCCCTCGCTCGTGCTGTCCATCGGCAAGCCTGTCCTCAGCCAACATTTATCGTGGCGCAGGCAGTCTACTGCTTTCAATTCGAACCCAAACACTCACTGCACCTACTGTCTCTGCCATCATCGCTGCACATCTCTGCGACAGTGCCAAATCCTCCATACCAAGGCTCACAAAAAGTGTCTCACTTGGCGGAGGCTGGGTTGGTGTCATCATGGCTGCCATGGCTCAAACCTTCTGTGGCGAAGATTCTTTGTTCCGGCTCCGGACGCGAAGCACAGACTATCGAAGGCTGCACTCGGACTGCCTTTGTGTTGAATCCGTTCAGTGCCACCTCATGTGCCTGAGCAATAAGACTATAATTACTGTCAAGTCAAAGCTATTGCCGCGGTCGAGCTCGTCGAGCCTCAACATGGTATGAGCCAACGAAGGGAAAAAGGTCGCATTACAGCTGGCACGCTCCAGGGCTTCTACCGCATGCATCCGCGGCGGCCGCATGTTGAGACGGCCAGACCATTGAACATGCGATTGCTGTTTCAACCTTCCGCTCCTTTCAAAGGCACATAGCGAAAGAGAGATTGAGCGAGAGAGAGAGAGAGAGAGAGAGAGAGAGAGAGTGAGAGAGAGATGGACGGACAACAGCAAACAAACACACAGAAACTTGAAAAATCTTGAAAACACAACTAATCACCAACAAACGGAGTCACGAGCACAAACACACACACACACACAAAAAAAAAAAAAAACGCACCTACATACGCAAAAACGTTCACATGCACACGCGCACAAACACACATGCACACAAACCCAAACAACACGCACCGTCTCGCTCCACACCACCCCGGCCCACCCTACCGTTCCCACCCCTCCCGAGCCCCACCCCAGTCATTCAAACAACTCCTTGCAGGGCCTGCATAACCCGACAAGCTCTTCTGCCACACGATATCTTCGACACTAGCAACTCATACCGCTGAGTAATCATATACATATATCTCCTCTGACTAACTCCACCAACCGCAAACACCACGACAACCAGCACCAGCACCAGCACGACGACTACGACTATACTCGTGATCTTGCAAACATTGTTCCGGTTGTTGCTACTTGTTCAAGTTACCAGAGGACCTACAGGGGGTTCATCTCTGCGACCAGAAACCCTGCATTACTGGTGAACATGGACAACTGTCAGACAGTACCTGGCGGAGCTGAGCAGCATCACAACCGATTGCCTTCTGTTTTGCCCACTTCTGCGAATGCACGTCGGTCAGCCAGGTATGCTACTTTGCTCCTGGCTCCTATAAGCACGGTCTGCAAAACTTGACTGCGTGGCTGAGAAGGCGGCAGGTTTCTTGAGACCAAACTCACCACATTCCTCCACCCCATCCCTTTCCACCACCCTTGTACTGGTCGTAGCCCTTGCCCCAGCCGCCACCGCCACCCCAGCCACCATCGCCACCCCAGCCACCGCCACCTCCACCCCAGCCACCGCCACCTCCTCCCCAGCCACCTCCGCTCTCACCACCCCAACTACCTCCTTTGCCTCCTCCTTTGCTTTCGGCGCCCCAGGCATCTCCCGAACCTCCTCCGCCCTTGCCGCCCATGGCAGACAACATCATGGCCATCATTTTCATCATCTCTGGTGGCGCACCCGTCCCATCACCTTTCATACCCTTGCCGCCAGGGGGACGCTGCGTTCGTGGAGTTGCAAATGACACCGTGACTGGACTCGACAGGCCTTGTGGGACATTGCCGTTGACGTTGTCGATGACCCACTTTGCATCGTCGACCGAGTTCATGATAACGAATGCGGCTGCAGCCGTTTTGCCAGCGGCCACTGGGAGAACGTTCGCCTGCTTCACCCCGCCATACTGTTGGAAGATCTGCTTGGCTTGGACGGCTGTGCAGTCCATGGGAAGACCGGTTACGAAAAGGTCCTCGCTGGGAGGACCGCCGCGTGGGGGGAGCGCCATTGCTGCCTACACTGGAGCCTGGAGAGCAACTAGACTTGTGTAGACCCGTGCACCCACCTCAAGATACTACTTCGTACGTCCTCACCTACGTGACATTTGCAATGACAGTCTGAAGGTACTTGTTTCTTCGAATCCAAAGGCTGCAGCAAGAAACTGGCCAACATCCGCTCAACCTCACATCACCAGGCAGCTGCATTCCAAGCGCTGCGTGCTGCTTCTGCAAACATGCACAGCGAATGTCGGCAGCTAGCTATCGTTTCTGTCGCACTCGTTTCTCAGAAGGTGCACACTGCGAGAAGGTGTGTAACCACCTTGATCGATATACAGCACCGCACCAGCAAGGCTGTGCGTCTGGTAAACATGGGAAGCCATCGTGGCGGTTCAGTACTCGAAGTCGCGAACGTGCTGCTCACCAATAGCCACCGCCTGCCATGCCATTTCCCATGGGAAGCCCAAAACCGGCACCCGGGACTGCACCCGGAAATGCTGCTGGAACTGCACCCGGGATTCCGGGGAGTGCGCCTACGGTTGCACCAGGTGCGCCCGGAACTGCCTCCGGGCCGGCTGCCGGCTTCGCATCTGGATCCGTGCTGGTATCCCCATCCCCATGCCAAAAATGGCAACCGTTCCTGGGGCATGAAACTCCGGCTTCGAAATACCGGCAAATCTGCATGCCTGGAGGTGGCTTGGGCGGATACCACGCGCCCTTTCCTCCTCCAGCAACAGCAGCCACCAAAGGAACCAATGCCTGCAACAATGCCGCTGCAGCAGGGTTTCCGCCGCCCTCCGCACCTTTGCCCTTTCCAGCCATCTCCAAGGCAGGGGCAAGGCCTGCAAGCGCCCCAAGAGCTCCCCCAAGTCCACCTTTGTCAAAACCCTTCCCGAAGCCCTTTCCCTTGAACTTGAAGGAAACAGTGACGGGGGTTGTCAGGCTCTGCGGGACGTTGCCATTCACATGCTCCACGATCCACTTCGCATCATCTGCGGTGTTCATCTCCACAACCGCCGCAGCGGCTGTTTTGCCCGGAGCAACCGGGAGCATCCGAGCGTCCTTCACGATGCCATACTGCCCGAAGATGGACTTGCAGAAGTCGTTGGTGCAATCGACAGGGAGGCCAGTCACGAAGAGGGTTGGACCAGGTGGGCCACTCGGCGGCGTCTCCTGCATCATCCTGGTTTGTGGACTTCACGCAGCCGCTGGGCACGAGGGAACTCTCTGCGGCAAGCTACCGGTCCCACGGACTAGATCCTGCCTAAACACACCTTGTAACACAATACCGGGCAAGCCCACCACTTGCTGGAAAGACCTCGTGTGTCTGCAACATGTATGCCAATCAATGTATGCTGTCCATATTGACTTGCTGAGGTTTTCCTTACATCAACCGGCTTGACAAGACCACATCGCCGAGCCAGAGCGCGCAAGGCAAGCAATGTCACCCTCCACTCCACACTTGTGCATCAGCACCATGGATCTCCTGCATGGTACATGTTAACACAACCGAAAGCTGAGACGAAGATTCAGAGGCACACATTTTGGCTGAGTCAGTCCAGCTAAGTCGTGACAATGTGCAAGCTATCCCATCGGTACCGCTCTCACCATGCGCCTTTGCCACCTCCTGGTTCGACAGTGCCTCCGCCGACACCACCGCCTGCAACAGCAGCCACCAAAGGAACCAGCACCTGCAACAATGCCGCAGCTGCGGCAGGGTTTGGGCCGCTCTCAGCGCCCTTTCCTTTGCCTCCACCCAATTCCAAGCCACCAAAACCGAAGCCCTTCCCGAAGCCCTTCTCTCCCTTTCCTTTGAATCCTCTGAACTTGAAGGAAACAGTGACGGGGGTTGTCAGGCTCTGCGGGACGTTGCCATTCACATGCTCCACGATCCACTTCGCATCATCTGCGGTGTTCATCTCCACAACCGCCGCAGCGGCTGTTTTGCCCGGAGCAACCGGGAGCATCCGAGCGTCCTTCACGATGCCATACTGCCCGAAGATGGACTTGCAGAAGTCGTTGGTGCAATCGACAGGGAGGCCAGTCACGAAGAGGGTTGGACCCGGTGGGCCACTCGGCGGCGTCTCCTGCATCATCCTGGTGTGTGGACTTCACGCAGCCGCTGCAGCGGCACGAGGGAACACTCCGCGGCAAGCTACCGGTCCCACAGACTAGATCCCGCCGAAACTCGCCTAGGGCCAGTAACACGAGAATTACTGGAGGCCCACCACTTGCTGGAAAGACCTCGTGTCTGTGCTGTGCTTCTCTTGACGTTAGCTTGCTGAGTGTCTCTTTACATCAACCACCCTCACAAGATCAGACCGCTGAGCCAGGGTGGCAAGAAATTTCCTTCGCCCTTGACGAAATAGGTGAGCAGCTCGTGCGTGCGCATCGGAGCTATCCCCTGCATTCTCCTGCAGTAGCTGCCCCATGCGCGCGGCATGTTGCGAAGAGCTGTAGCGTCTGTGCTCAAACCGCAGGATCAGATCAATACATGCGAAGTACTCGCAGCCAGCCTCATGTCCGTACATTCAGCGCACTGTGGCACCAAGCCACTCGAACACCCCTCTACACTTCTCTCGAAATTCAGTTCGGAGCGCCTCACGGAGCTGTGGCCAGATTTATCCAATCTCCGCTTCCGCGGGGCGATGCTGGTAAGGACTCCATACCACTCCTGTGTGCCAGGGCAAAGAACTGTTCTTGGCTCAACGTCAAGAGAGCTTCGCGTCTAAGCTTGGTGCAGAGCAGGTGTCATGCAAGGATTTTCGCTGCATCTGGCATCTCAATGGTTCGACTCTGAAGTATCCGTGCAGCAGGCATCCCAGCCCGTTCTGCATCTTCATATTATCCTGGTCTCCCGACTACTGGTCAACCGGTATCCGTGCCCTTGAGTGAATGAATGGCACACAAGTTGGCTGAGTTTGCACACGAACCTTTGTCGAACTATGGCTCTGGATTTCAATCGCGGAAAACTCAGCACCACCGAAACCAGTACCCCTCAGCTTGCGACGATGGATGCCCAATCAGAAGAGGGTCTGCGCTGCTCACCATCCCTTGCCACCTCCTGGTGGGGCCGCGCCTCCACCGACGCCGCCACCGCCGGCAACAGCAGCCACCAAAGGAACTAGCGCCTGCAACAATGCCGCAGCTGCAGCAGGATTTGCACCACCTGGCATGCCCTTGCCCTTTCCTCCGCCCATGTCCATGCCACCACCAAAACCGCCGAAGCCCTTGCCGAAGCCTTTGTCGAAACCCTTCTCGAAGCCCTTGCCTTTGAACTTGAAGGTAACCGTGACAGGGGTAGTAAGGCTCTGTGGGACGTTGCCGTTGACATTCTCCACGATCCACTTAGCATCATCTGCGGTGTTCATGATGACAACTGCCGCAGCGGCTGTTTTGCCCGGGGCAACTGGGAGCATCCGAGCGTCCTTCACGATGCCATACTGGCCAAAGATGGACTTGGCGAACTCAGCGGTGCAATCGACAGGGAGGCCTGTGACGAAGAGGGCCGGACTGGGTGGGCCACTCGGAGGCGTCTGCATCGTCGCGGCTTGCCGATGTCGTGCTGCTGGGCACGAATCAGACGTCTATGGCAAGAAACTGGTCCAACAGGCCAGCCCTTCTCACCCGACAACCTTGTGCTGGCAAGTCATGCTAGCATGATTGAAAGCTGTTGCGGCTCTGCATACGTGTGTCGTGCTGATCGTCTTCGCTTATCGCCTTGGCGAGACCAGATCGCTGAGCCAGGGCGCGGCGATGACTACTATACAGACGCATGTCTAATCCCCGCCATGCTGATGCATTAGTGCCTTCGACCTCCTGGAACTCCCGGATGCATGTGGCACTCAGCTTCGTCCCGAGCTCGCAAATTCAAAAGCAAAAGCGGCGGGTCTCCTGCGCCTGCAGGCACGAGCCACCAGCCGCGAGAAGCCTTCAGGTGTGCACTTTCAGACTACAATAAGGCATCAGTGTCAGAAGCTACACCATGGGCATCGTCTTGTTCCTGAAAAGGGTTCTGCGCTGTCTTCGCGAAACCTGTTGTGCCGGATATGTGCGCATGCCTGCTTGGCCCCGTTCCGTGCAACGGGATGCCTGCGCAGCCGCAGGCAAGGTCTCAAAATCGACGTCGAAACATGACCCATGAGCAGCAAGCAGACAGGCCACCCAGACTTCAACTGTATAAGGTTACATGCCAAATCTGAGCCCGACCTGATTGCTTCATCGGGGAGATACCATTCAAACTTCAATAGCAGTAGCACAAATTGTACCTGACAAGCACTAGGCAACCCTCTCCATCCAGCATTCCTTTACACAACACCCCGGCAAGCAGACCTTGTGATGTGATTTGGGATGCTGCGGCCGCGATCTGCTGCACAACCCCGAAAGGCGAATGTATCAGTATGGGGCGGATCTCAACTCTGTGCCTTCGTGTTGGTCTCCCGACATTGCCCGACTGAATGTGTTTGCTGTCCTTGGGCAGCTACAAGTTTTTGCGTCTGCAGCAGGCTCTGGGTCTAGGTTCGGGGTTGCCAATCTGTTGCTGCAGATGTGCCCCTGAGTTGGGGTGGACACTGCAGTATGAATCTCCGTTGAGGCCTCGAGCCTCAAGTTTCTGCAGCGCTTCCTACGGGGCCAGGGCGACAGGAACGCATCATCCGAAGACAGCCCTCCAGGGATCGTGCCTCTGAAGACTCCCGACACGCCTTCCAAAGATGCACAAATCTACGCAAGACAAGTTCAAGTTCCCTCTCTCCGGATCTCAACTGGCTGGCACAACCACACAAGAAGGGACGCATTGAGGCTAGCAGCGCGCACTTTAATTGCATCCGCCCGGCTTCCATTCGGCCCTATGATATTTTCCTGAATTTCCACTCAGCAAAGCTGGAACCGGTTCTCCTCAGCTTGCGACGATGGATGCCCAATCAGAAGAGGGTCTGCGCTGCTCACCATCCGCCCTTGCCACCTGCTGGTGGGGCTGCGCCTCCACCGACGCCGCCACCGCCGGCAACAGCAGCCACCAAAGGAACTAGCGCCTGCAACAATGCCGCAGCTGCAGCAGGATTTGCACCACCTGGCATGCCCTTGCCCTTTCCTCCGCCCATGTCCATGCCGCCACCAAAACCGCCGAAGCCCTTGCCAAAACCCTTCTCGAAACCCTTTCCTCTGAACTTGAAGGTAACCGTGACAGGGGTAGTAAGGCTCTGCGGGACGTTGCCGTTCACGTTCTCCACGATCCACTTAGCATCATCTGCGGTGTTCATGATGACAACTGCCGCAGCGGCTGTTTTGCCCGGGGCAACTGGGAGCATCCGAGCGTCCTTCACGATGCCATACTGGCCAAAGATGGACTTTGCGAAATCAGCGGTGCAATCGACAGGGAGGCCTGTGACGAAGAGGGCCGGACTGGGTGGGCCACTCGGAGGCGTCTGCATCGTCGCGGTTTGCCGATGTCGTGCTGCTGGGCACGAACCAGACGTCTATGGCAAGAAACTGGTCAGCCCGGATCCCACCCGAACACACCTGCTAATACAAACACACAAAGCAAAGTTTGCGCGTGAGACATTCTGACTCTGCATGTCGTGTCGGACTGCATGACTTAGTGACTTAGTCTCTGTCTGCATCGATCGCTTTGACACAACCAGAACGTGGAGCCAAAGCGCGCGAGGCATGCACTCTCTTTGCGAAAGCGCAAAGAACGTACGTCTCTTCACCTGCTACACGTACACCTGAATGCTCTGCTAGCAGCGTGCATTGCAGACCGCTTTGCTGGCATGGAGCAGCCAATGAACTTGGCAACAGCCTACAGCTCGCCATGCAAGCGGAGAGCCTCATCCGCTTCTACCAGAAATGCCAGAAGAATCAGTTGTCGAAGAAACCTGCAGATATCCATCTCCACAAAATTGTTTACGCCTAGTAAGTTGCAGCACGGGACACTATGCTTCTGTAGTTTGCAGACAGTTTCATGTAAGGAGCACCAGATGGGTATTACCCAGTAGACCAGAATGGCTAGGGCCGAATTCTGCTAAACATACACAAGGGAAGAGTTACAAAGGCTACGGCTACGGCGCTCGTCAGAAACACTGCATTCGATCATGATCACGCATGAATAAAATGACGATGGTGCTCGTGGTGGTGGCGATAAAGACTATGAAGAGCAGACTAATCTACGTACTTAAACTACTGCCTGATACTTTAATGCCCCCTCATGACTTTCAACATGTTCGCTACACACTCGTGTGACCATGACGCACCTGTCGAATAGCTGTCAGCAGTGGTGGCAAGTTGGCCACGTTGGCATCCTGACCTACGCGATAGCCACTCTTCACCAGACCATAGGCACAAGGTGTTCTACAAAGGCAAACAAACATCGTGACGGAGGCCTCTGCGGCTCTTGAACTCGCAATGAAGATCGACAAGAAGTTCTTCTACGACCAGGCCTCCACGAACAGACCGGAGTGCCGGCTTTCGCTTCCGCTAACCTGGCAAGATCGAAACACATCCGCAAGCCCGACCTTCATGTGTCAAGGTCGACACCAGGCATGGTGCAATGCAAGAGCTCCGATGCCACCAGGCAGGTTTTCTTGCAGACGCCGGCCGCGTCTCGGCGTGCATGATAAGACAGGCCACTATACAGCATGGTGCTGCAATTGCCTGCGAGTACGCAAGCACGATCTGGGCAGGGGTACCATCATATCACCGTCACTCGCCCACAGCTTCTGCTGCATGACCAGGTCAGTTGCCTCTCACCAGCCTTTGCCTTTGCCACCTGCGTTGTAGGCACCGGCACCGTTGCTGCCCCAGTCACCTCCGCCGCCGCCCCAAGTAGAACCTCCTCCCTTACCCCAGCCGGCGCAGCCACCCCAGCCACCTCCTCCTTTGCCCCAACCACCACCCCAGTCGCCTCCTCCTTTGCCCCAGCCACCACCACCACCACCACCACCCCAACCACCGCCACCGCCCATCATCGACATCATGCCCCACATGCCATCCATGCCCTTCATTTTGCCTTTGCCACCGCCTTTCCTCTGCTCCCGCGGTGTGGCGAAGACAACCGTCACCTGGCTCATCAGACCCTGAGGGACGTTGCCGTTTACGTTGTCCACAATCCACTTTGCATCCTCTAAGGTCTCCATGATAACGAAAGCGGCTGCCGCGGTCTTGCCCGCCAAAACCGGTAGCACCGTGGTTTCCTTGACAGCACCATACTGGCTAAACACTTGCTTGGCGCTCTCGCTGGTGCTGTCCATTGGCAGACCTGTCCTCAGCCGCAATCACTCGAAACAGGCTTTAAGAAGCTGCAAACGCAGACGCACCATTGCCACAGCAGCTTGACACGAGCCTGCTGACTGTTCGACCGAGCATCACAAACAAGGTTTCGCTTGGAGGAGGAGAAGCCATGGCGATAGACGCGGCTCTGCTACTGCTATGCAAAATCTCGGCATGTGCAATGTGAACACCTCAGACACAGGCAGCTACACTGCAGCTACATAGCTTTAAACTGTCATGCTCAATTTCTCACGGGATCGACAATTCGGAAAGCCTGAGTCATGACGCGCAAACCGATGGAAGAAATCGTGCTCCTCAGCTTGTTCGGTTGACGATGACTGACAGCTTGCACATGCGCCACTCCCGGCTGACACAGAGCAAAGCTGACAACTTCAATTGCATGCACTGACTTCCAAACTCCCAACATGGGCCAAGGAACGGAAGCTGCAACAATGCCCCGCCGAGGCTTGGGTTATTTCTGTCTTTTTGCATCGTTCCCTTTAGAGCCTTTGGTGAAGCGACGCGCACTTCTGGACGGACAACTGCCACAGCAGTCAGTCCGTGTGCGTGTGCGTGTGCGTGTGCGTGTGCGTGTGCGTGTGCGTGTGGGTGTGCGTGTGCGTGTGCGTGTGCGTGTGCGTGTGGGTGTGGGTGTGGGTGTGGGTGTGGGTGTGGGTGTGGGTGTGGGTGTGGGTGTGGGTGTGGGTGTGGGTGTGGGTGTGGGTGTAGGTGTAGGTGTGGGTGTGGGTGTGGGTGTGGGTGTGGGTGTGGGTGTGGGTGTGGGTGTGGGTGTGGGTGTGGGTGTGGGTGTGGGTGGGTGTGTGTGTGGGTGTGGGTGTGGGTGTGGGTGTGGGTGTGGGCGTGGGCGTGGGCGTGGGTGTGGGTGTGGGTGTGGGTGTGGGTGTGGGTGTGGGTGTGGGTGGGTGTGGGTGGGTGTGTGTGTGTGGGTGTGTGTGGGTGTGTGTGGGTGTGTGTGGGTGTGTGTGGGTGTGTGTGTGTGTGTGCGTTGTCTTCTTGCACAACCGGGAGCATCCGTGCAAACTTCACGATGCCACGCATACTGCCCAAGATTGAACTGAAGTATGTATGTCACGACCCGATGGCGACTGCGAGGAGGCGTTGTCCCGAAGTGGGTTGGACCTTGCACGCACCCTTTGGCCGTTTTTGTTTGCACCATCGGTTCTTTTCAACAGCCTGATGCACCGACATTTGTATCCGAGCGATTGCTGCCCAGCGTAGGCTTGAGTCTTGCTCACTGACGCCACCGAGCTCTGGTCTTGAGAATGTGTGCCAACAGGATCCCGCTGCCATGATAATCCACTTGGAGGTTCATGGGTAGCTATAAGTGGAGTCATAAGTCCCCTAATATGGGTTATAACGACACTTGCCCTACTTACAACCCCACTTATAACTCCCCATGAACCTCCCAGCACCACTCCTGTGTGTCCCTCCCAGGGAGGGCCTCATGGGGACCAGCAAAGTGCCCTCGAAGGTGACAGCGGCCTGGGGGTCTACGAACTCTGAGATTTCACAACAGGTCAGCCATGGTGAAGGCGAAAAGTGTATGCTGAGATTTGGACGGAATATCTCCAAACGCTCTGCTCTGCATTGAAGCCGATAGCTTCCAAACACGGTGTTGAAACATCCCACCGTGCGCAAGCAGAAAGCAAAGGACTGCCACAGGACGGAGGCGCTTCTTCTTCTGAAAAAGGGATCTAAAAGGGTTCTTTTCAGAAGTCTCTAAGGGTTCCTTGAAGGGATGTATGAGGGAATTAAACCTTTAAGGGTGTAGGGTTTTTAGGGGGTTCGGCTAGCTGCCCGGTAGCTCCTGGACAAGAGCCTCGCAGGCAGACTGGAATCCTCACTCACCGCATACGAAAGCCACCTTCACCTGCCATGACCACGTCTCTTTAAAGCCTGCAATGATCCAGCCCTGAGCTTCAACAAATGCATCAACCGAAGCTGGGCACCTGGGCTCCTGTTAAGGAATTTAATTTTAGCGCATTTCAGGATCCATAATAGTTGATATGGCTTCCTTACTGTGGCAACCTGAATATCTTGAACTAAGTTCCTTAATATCAAGATGCATCAAACGTGCGCAACACTCGAGGACCGGACCCGGCGCATGGCTAGTTTGCCAGCTCGGTGTCGCTCGCACTCTGCGATGCAGATCGGAGTCGAAAGCCCTGAGGCAAGTTCAAAGGATGGGCGCGAGTTAGAAGAGGGTTTTGGGCTACATCCGAGCTATATAAGCGTGCCCTCAAACGAACCCCCCAAACATAACATATGTTTAGCCCTGCCAGCAATTATTCAGGCTTTCCAGCTTCACAAACATCAAAGCAAAGGAAACCCGTTCGTAGGGATGGGCTTTTATGCAAAACACCTAATATGACATTCAGGTGCCTCTTAGGCATGGCCTTACAGGAGGCTGCCCCGAAAAAGCTTCGAATGCTGACTTGTGTCACACGTGCTGACATGCATCAAACAGCCAGCCCATGCAATCAACCCGACGTGTAGACACTGCTGGCATCGACATCTCGAGCCCCGCAACGAGCTTTTCACGGAGTACCTCGGGGATGTAGTCGAAGCTTCGCTCAACCTGCCGGGGACGTGGAGGGGAAGCGGCCGTAGGAGGAGAAGAGCCACCCTCCAACTCACAATAACTGGCGGTTTGACTTGCATTCCAGCCAGCTCAACTTGGCATAACTTGGTTGGGATCTACTGAGTGCCAGACAGACCACCAAAGTGTCTCGTCCCGCAATATTCCCTGGCTCGGCCACAAGATCCAAATAACATGTTCACGGTAAAGCCAACAAGATGCCCCGACCATAAGCAATGACGGTGCTGGCAATCACCTCGTACCGACCGTACATTATTTTTGAGTCCCCCACGGCAGGGGCGCACTCCCAGGGTCCCCCGTTCTGTTATTTTTTGCCTCCTGCGTGGCTGAGTACACGAAGCAGGGCAGTAGGTCAGATAGTGTACCGTACATTAAATGAAGACCCTGAAAGCGTGACGGCAGCAGCAGCATAAATACTGCAGCTGCAGCAGCAGCAGCAGCAAAACGGACGACGAGATGACATGTCAATACCACCACCACTGCCACAACAACCACGACACTTGATGCTACTGCCACAGGCACTGCTAACTTTACTGATCCCGCTGCTACTGATACTGCTCCCTATACTGCTATACTACTTATACTCGCCACTCCCGCTGGCACTGATTCTGCTACTGGTGTTGGTCCTCTTCCTCTGTAGCAACAAGAAAGCACATATGGTCAACGTCAGAAATGGGAACATCTACATCACGTGCCTTACAGTACCCTTTGATCGAGGACTATCTTGCGTTCGATGCTCGTGAGCTCATTAACTGAATCCCGGCGGCTGCTGCCCAAGCAAGGGTCTTGCAGTTCCCTGCGATGCGCGGTTGTTGTTTGCAATACGATTCCGCGAATCCTACTGAACCGCTGCCTCATTCTGTCTAACGTGCATGGCTCGATTCTGCTTGCGACGGTGCATGGTAGCGTTCCCCTACAGCGGCACTCGCTCAAATTCCAATTGATCTAGCCACTCAACAAGGGCGGACTTCCACGTTCAATATGACGACTCCGGGTCCGCTCACGAACTACGCGCGGACTCGGTCAACTTTGTAAAATGCTTCCCCGCTCTTGCCTGCTATGCCACATCCAGCCTAAGAAAGGGTCAACTTTCCGGCTTCATGCTGATGGCACTGGCCCTCAAAACTAGTAAATGCTATTATTATTTAATTTGCAGTCAGCGACAGGTTCGGTCAGACCAATCACTAGAACACAGCCAGGCAGAGACAAAAATGCACAAGCGAAGCAATCCTCCAGCAATCAAGTCCAGTCCCAGCTTCGAAGCCAGAGAGAGAGAGCTAACCCTCAGATCGGAAAGGAAGGTGCCCGCAAGCCTGGATCTGCGAGCAGTACTCCTCAAAGCCTGGAAGCAAAGGCTCCATTGAAACCTGTGGACGGGAGCGTCATCGATACTGGCAAGCTCTACAAGCAAATCATGCTTTCCAGTACCCGGCAACAAGGACGCACGCACACCAGCATGTGTTTTCATTGGCGGTGTCGGCCTCCAGCTGGGGTGGCAAGCTGTTTGCAAAACCGTGTAGCAGAGGACAAGACGCGGATACCTCCTAAAGGATATCCTGAAGCTACTGGCATTGGTCGCCACAGCCTGCCGCAGCACGACTAGTTGCCAAAAAGTATCATCACATGGAGTTTGTGAAAGGCTGTCTCAACCGACAATGTCATCTGTGGATTCGTTCCGATTTGACTAAATCATGCTTCCACTCCGACATGGACGACTAAGACTGCTGTGGCACCCACTGCATGACGCTCTTCATGCTTGCCCCGGGTCTCACAAGGGGTCGCTCGGCTCCATCTGCCATCAGCCAGATCAGCAACTTCTCACCATCCTTTGCCCTTGCCACCTCCGTAGGCGCCGCCCCAGTCACCTCCACCACCACCTCCCCAACCGGTACCTCCTCCTTTGCCCCAGCCACCACCCCAGCTGTCACCTCCTTTGCCCCAGCCACCACCCCAACCACCGCCACCACCCATCATCATAGACATCATGTTCCACATGCCATCCGTACCCTTCATCTTTCCTTTGCCACCACCTTTCCTCTGCTCCCTCGGTGTGGCGAAGACAACCGTCACCTGGCTCATCAGACCCTGAGGGACGTTGCCGTTTACGTTGTCCACAATCCACTGTGCATCCTCTACGGTCTCCATGATAACGAAAGCGGCTGCCGCGGTCTTGCCCGCCAAAACCGGGAGCACCGTCGTTTGCTTCACAGCACCATACTGGCTGAACACTTGCTTGGCACTCTCGCTGGTACTGTCCATTGGCAGACCTGTCCTTAGTCTAAGTCGTCGCAGAGGCTCAACACGAGCCAGCTCAAAGTTCCGACTACAGTGATTCTTGGGAGACCCCACCAACCCTTCACAAACACAGTCCCACCATTACACTCAGATCTTCACCGAGCATCACGAACAAAGTTTCGCTTGGAGGAGGAGACGCCATTGCGACAACTATGGATCTTACTACCTGCGTTACTCGTCCCTGCAGCCAATGTGAATCGAAGCTGCCTGCGTTGATATGTGCCGTGAAGCTAGGGCTGTCGATCCGTCAAAGGACTCGCGACGACATAAGCTGGGCTTGTGCCAAGTCCACGGTACTGGAACAATCAGTCAGTACGAGACTCATGACCTTGCTGGATTTAACGTCCTCAGGCTGCACAATTTTTTGCCTAATGCTTTCATGTTCTTTTCGATATCCCCAAGGTGCACGCTGCCGGGAACAGACGTGCCACCTTATACAATGCACCACGGCACGCTTCAAAACTTTGCAGCCCGACCCGATGTCGTAGCTTTGTCGGCAGCGGAGTCCCTGAGGAAGTCCAGAAGTGCACTGCTCTCACGTAGCCATGCACCCTCCGTTTCCCAGCATCACCAGCCTAGCATCGCGCCCTTGCCAGCGCCAGCGCCATCACCTTCGCCCTGGCCTTTGCCCTTGCCGGCGTCCCCTTCGCCATGCCAGAAGTAGCACCCCTGCCTGGGACATGCCATTCCTGCTTCGAAGTATCTGCAAATCTGCACGCCTGGGGGAGGCTTGGGCGGATACCATGTGCTCTGTCCTCCTCCTGCGACAGCAGCCACCAAGGGAACCAGGACCTGCAACAGGGCCGCTGCTGCCGGGTTTGCAGCGCCCTCCAAGGCACCTTGGCCCTGGCCTTTCCCACTCAAGTCCAAGCCAGGCGCCAGGCCAGCCAGACCTCCAAGAGCTCCCCCAAGTCCACCTTTGTCAAAACCCTTCCCGAAGCCCTTCCCTTTGAACTTGAAGGTCACCGTGACGGGGGTTGTCAGGCTCTGCGGGACGTTGCCATTCACATGCTCCACGATCCACTTGGCGTCATCTGCGGTGTTCATCTCCACAACCGCCGCCGCAGCTGTTTTGCCCGGAGCAACCGGGAGCATCCGAGCATCCTTCACGATGCCATACTGACCGAAGACGGACTTGCAGAAGTCGCTGGTGCAATCGACCGGGAGGCCCGTCACGAAGAGGGTTGGACCCGGTGGGCCACTCGGCGGCTCTTGCATTTCGAAGCCAGGCAAGGGAGCGAAATCGTACGGCAGGGCACCAGGAGAGCGTCCGATCCTAAACCCTTCGAAAGCCCTCACCACACCTTTCAAAGAACTCTGTTTAGATGCTGGGCCACCTCCCTGACAGCGCACTAGCCCTAAAGCTTATAAGCTATAAGTGTAGTCACTGTAATCATTCTTGTGTACCATTGTCCCATCAGCTCGAAGAACATTTCAGACTTGAGCCCGGAGCAGATCGTGAAGTCCATCACATGAAGTGCAGGTGGACTCGCAAAGCCTCTCACTGGCGCGGGCCTCTGCATGGTCTGCCCCAGCAAGTGCTCGAATCGTGCCAGCGAAGGCATCGGCAGTGGCCTGCAGACATCACTCCAGTTGGCGGGCGAGGAAAAACACAAAGACAGAACACACAATAACAACAAAGAAAGAATGTGGAACAAGATGTGCCGTATTGGTGTAGACATACACATGCATGCATGCATGCACATCGACACATACATATGCATATACCTATAAGCAATTACAAATACATATACATACACATACACATATACATTTAGACAGACAGACAGACAGACAGTCTAATGCATTCAAACTATGTGTGTGTGTATATGTATATGTATATATACATATATATATATATATATACTATGATTTTACAAAAA